AAGCAGTGGTATCAACGCAGAGTACTCTGATTCGTCTTCTTAGCTCTGAGTAATATTTGGTGAAAGCACAGCGATCAAAAGCGAAAAATGGGAAAAACGAGATTTTGATTGGATTCTAATTCCACAATTTGGAGGTCTTCTGAAGCGGGATTCCTGAGGTGGACAGAAAAGGAGTAGTGCTTTGTCTTGAGTGCAAAAACGGATAGCTAATTCACCTTTGAAACAAAGTTAACCATGTTGGAATTTGACCATTTCACTTAGGTAGCCTAGTATCTTGAATCTTCAGAGGTCGCCCACACTTTGTCTACAAGGGTTATTTGACATGATAATTATGGATAGGATACGAATATCATGTTATCACCATTATCAGATTACCCAACTACGACTCCCTCCCCTTTTGACTCCTCAATACGACCCCCCCCCCCCCCCCGATGCAGCGTGCCGCACCCCCCGCTTTATCCTGCTGATGAATCAAAGGGCTAGACGGCCACTGCACACATTTTGTCAGAGTTTAAGCGTATGTAGTGCCAAAGGTTAAAGCATTTGCCATGACCAATGGCAGCACCTCGAAAAAAGGACTTCCTACTTTTTGGAGAGACGCCGATAAGTCCGCAGTCTTTGCGTACTACAAATCATCTATAGCTACCTTAAATTAAAAGACGACATCGGGCATCCCAGACCCAGACAGGCACTGGTGATTGAGAAATTTATTATTTATACTGTCAAATGTAGAAAAAGTTGATTTGGTTGGAACTCACAGCAAAAAAAAAGTGTCGCGGAACTAGAGATGACCAAAAAAATAATGAGACAGCCTAACGTACCCTTTGATTCAATTGGATTAGCCGCTGTAAGTCGGGGATTGAGGGCTAGAGAATAATCAGTGAGCACGTTCGCGAGAGAGACGCAGACTTTGTCGCGGGAGCGAGCGCTCTTCCAGTCGCCAATCTCGTTGAATCAAAGGAACGACTGCACACGCAGAGCCTTGATTGTGCCTCACTTTTAAAAAAGTTTCCAAGAGACTGATATTGAGTGCTTTTGTAGAAAGCTTCCTATTATTTCACTTCAAAAAAGAACAATAAATCTTAGAAAGCGCGTCGTTTATCTACAATACTCGTAATTTTCGGAAAATTACGCAAAATCGCCCGATTTGTTGGCCATATCTCGCTTCAGAGTAGACGAATTCTTAGCACAAGGGAACCATTCGACTCAGCTCGGCGCATTGGACACAATAAAAGGTCACTTTCTACGAATCGTCGATTTTCGCTCACGGTAGGTTACTCAAAGTGCTTATTCATTACACTCACTGGGCAACCCACACTAAGTAAAAATCCAAAACGATTCGTTGAATCTGACTTTCCCACTGCGTCCAAGCGGTCACTTCTATATATCAAAAGATGTGCGCGCCGATTGTCGAATGGTGCTTTTGTATTAAGAATTCGTCCACTCTGAAGCTAGATGTGGCTACGCTGCGGTGATATTACATATTTCGGTCAAATTTGCGTTGTTTCTTCAGAAAATACGAGCGGTATTACAATTGGATCACAACAAATTACCGCGGAATCTGCATTCAACTTTCACGGAACGCTTTGTCTGTGTTCCGACACAAACTTTTGACACCGAATAGCGCCTGTTACCTTTGAAACCGAAGTTGACTGTTGTTTTAATGAAGTCATCATTAGAGAAGTTCGACACCACATTCCGGTAGAACATGGCTCAGACATTGAGGTTCACAATGGAAAGTTATTTTTTGCCAAGAGAAGCGTGGCATGCTGGATCACAGTTTTGAATGCGGTTGTGCATCAAAAGACTTTTTGATAGATCGTTATGAGCAAGTTTCTTGCATCAGCTATAACAGAATGGACTGCTGCATTTCCATTATGATGCGTAGTCAACATGCCGACAATCCCATTTCAATGAAGGCGTAAGCAACTTCAATCTCTTGATTTTCTTGATCTATTGCTGCGAGAGGAATGTATGCAATTTATAACTTGTATAGAGCCCTCTCAACGAATAATATCGATCTTCTCATAAGAGCTTATAAAGTCTATGTCAGACCCTTAGTGAATACGGAACTGTTGAAAGTACAAAAGTTTCACTAGGACACTGCTAATAAGGAGCAGGATTTGTATATGATCGTATTCCTAACTACACCCTTCGAAATAAAAATTTGGGTCTTGAGCCTCTTGCTATCAGAAGACGCACTTTTGATCTGATAATGGCTCATAAGATTCTTTTTGGAAGTTGCAACCTTAGTGCTTCAGACTTTTTGCAGAAAAGAAGTTCCATAACTAGAGGAGGTTCAGACAAGATAGTACTATCGCGGCCTAGGAAAAATGTGAGGCGGTTTTTCTTTGTAAATCGAGTAACTCATGATATTGATATGTTTGTTAGGAAGAATAGATTTCCTGTTAAACTGGCACAATTTAAAACCATTCTCATAAACTATCCATCTTCTCCTTCACAGACCTGAGTTTTATGTTCATTTACCTCGTTTTTTGTTGTTTCAATCTCTTGTTCGTTCGTTCTTGTTTGAAATGTCGTGTTTCGGCGTATAGGAACCCCTATGCAATAAATGTTAATGTTGATGATTCACCATAGTCATACGTTCGCCGCTTAAGTTTCGGACCGCGGAATCGCGCGCGGCGAAAAAGTGTACTTTCAGCCGTTAGCCAAAAGGGGCCTTATTTCGTCGACTTTGGGCCTACATCTGTATCGGCATGGCAGATAAGCTCCATACCCAAAGTTCTGAGTAAATTCGAAGAGTCTGAATTTTGTCGCTTGAAAAGGACTTCTGTGCTTTCTTGAAAGGTAGGAACGGGAAGTCAGTTACTAATAATATTTAGAAGCTTCTAAGCTGTACACATCATTAATGAAACTACGGTTTTTCTCTTTGAAATCTCTCTTTGAAGCAAAGAGAAGTTGCGACGTCGAAGGCGTCGTTCGGTTGCCCCACTTCGTTGCAACTGTTGTTCGATTTGTCTTCATATTTCCTAAACGAATACCGGCGGCACAGCTCTACAGAATCTTCGAAAAGTAGGAATTCAAGCCTTTGACTTGATAACCTTGGACTCAAAGAAAACCTGCTGTAAACGTCAAAGATCCTCTAAAGCAGCGTGCAGCACCATGCGCAACACCGGTGCGAACATGTTGAAGCCATGCTCTGCAAAATGAAACGATATTTATAACTTCGCTGGTCTTTGGGCATAGCTCAATAATTTTTGTATGGTTTCATGTTTTCCTAGAGAAGCAGAGGAGTTGAATTCGACGCAAAAACAAAGTCGCAGCCATTATGCTACGCAGTCGAAATCTCAACGTCCCAGCTCTGCTCGAGACACATTTGGATTTTGACACTTTAACGACCACACTATATAATTCAATTAATCAGGGTTTCTTTGCGTAAAATATAGCCCATTGATGGCTGCATAAACTCAAACATCGCATTTTCGCAGGAGGTTCGCAACCTACAACCAAAAATTTGCTCAGAGAGAACCTGAAGAAATTACTTACAAACTGACTAATGTGGTTGCTGGCGTTACACGGTACGATTGCGACAGCACGAGGCAAAAGATTGCATTCAAAGAATTTTGTCAAATAATATAATGAGGTTTGCTTGACGTACTAAGCACGAGTATAACTACTTTGTTTGTAAGCGTCCCATTGAAATTTCACTTTGATCTAAATAATTTCGAAAAAAAACAAGAAGTTGAAGAAAGCGATTTATGATGACCTTCAAAAGTATGGTAAATTAGTATGTCGAAAAGAAATCTTGCGAAAGAGAGTTCGGTTACGTGTGAGTAAAAGAGTAAAGATCAGCGAGTTGATGGAGTTGGTAAGGTAATTTTTTTGATGTATGGAACGCTTTTTTGGATTTTTTTCACTTCTAATATGTTAGAAGTATACGCAGCCTGTGTCAGAAGTATTCTCGTTTGTGTGAGAATTACTGTCTGCAATCGGGGTTTGCGTGGTGGATGTTCCTTTAATGTAAGTGGACGAAACTGGCATAGCGTAAATTTTACCCCCTAATATCACCATTTAACTTCAGAAATAATCCTAAAAAATCGCTGAAAAATCTGCTCATTATCCTCTAAGAATCAATACACTTGCCACTTCTTAATTTGTCGTGTTTACTGTTCTAAGACTTCCATATCCCTTTTCTAAATGACAGAGCTATAGCGAGATAGCGTTCTTTATCTTTCCAATGAGTATCCAATAAACGAGCCTATTAATGCTGATTCTAAATCTTCTTTATATTCTTCAGAGGTGATTTCAAGCAACTTATAAAGTTTTGCTTTTAACGGTCGTCCTTGCAATTTTCCTGGATTCATGCCAAAATCTTCTTCACAACACTCGCGCCCCTAATTATCTCCTGCAGTTACTGGCGTCAAGCCCTTGCCTTCTGCACCGCATCCTGCAAATAATGATTCACGCTCTCTTTTCTAGACTGTACTGGGTGCAGCGTGCAGCAAATATCACAAACTCTGTAGCTCTATCCGCTGTAGCTGCTCAAAAGATTTCGATTGCAAAAGATTGCAGCTTTAAGTTAGACAGTGAGTTTGCTTGAGGTGTTAGTATATAAACAGCTCGAAATTCGTATTTGACGCAAAATTCACGTCACAAGTTGACATGCTCATTACTCTGCTAATACACCGTATTCAACTCAACTTCACAAAACTTTAGCAGTTTTTACGTTACGTTTATCCCAAAATCCCGAAACTCTCAAAACAAGGGGTGATCGTATAATTAACCGTACAGCATGTCGACAACGACCAAATGTAAATAGCAAACACTGCCTTTGATCAGTTATTTAGTAAACATTTATTTGTCTTGTTCTCTTTGTTTGGTTGTTTGTTTCATTTATTCTGCATATTAGTTGAGATGTATTTGTATGTATTTGTTCATCGGTTATTTGTTCACTCAAGTATTTGTTATGCACTACCATTATCGATTTCTAAAGTCTCAAGTTGAGCTTAGCAGCATATCGCTTATCTTGTAACAATCTATGTTTCATTTCCCATGTAGAATGTTATGAGAAGCTTATTTTATCAAGATATATGCCTGTATAAAAAGACTCTAGTCCGCCGTAAGGTCATGCTTCCTACACCAGTAAGGAATCGAGCAAGTATTCTCAAGTTCCCCTATTCTCAAGTGTTACCCTACGGCGAAGAAGAGAAGCCTTCACGTATTGGAGTAGAAGATAGAAGAAAGATATATTTGAACATATCGTCTTCAAACCACATACAAGACCCGCGTGGCAAAAAGTCAAAGAAACTCAACACAGACGAAAACATCTTTTACATGGTGCATCGGGCAGACGACGGGCTCAGGTCAGTCTAACAATTTTGCGGTACTGACATACCTCAATACTCTTTTTTACGACAGCAAATTTTGTTTGCAAGTTTTGAACCAAATTTCAAATCCCGGTTGCAAGTTTTGAACCGAACAACTATTGGTTGCAATTTTGAACCAGGCTAAGACTTTGTTTGCAGGTTTTGAACCAGGTCACTCTGTCGCAAGTTTCGAACCTACGTAGAAGGCTGAAGAATGGCGATGCGATTAGGTACTTCCAAGCGACTACTAACACGCTACACAAAGAAATTAGAAACAATAATCACCCATCTTAAGAATGAAGGACTAGAAACGCTTACGGCTGCATCACAAGAAGGTGAAGAAATCAGAGACAATCTGCGGCAGCTGAATGAAGGAATAGGGGCAATAACGGCATTCACGGAGAAGATTGAGAAGCTTTTGATGGACTACGCTACAGACGTCTCAGGCGTGCAAGGCTTGGATGAACAAGAATTAAGCAGCTTCGAGGAGTATTCCGCAAAGGCGGAGGAAGTTCTGGCCTCCGCATTTGACTGTTTAGTACTCTTAAAGTCACGCAGACAGGCATACACGGTATGCACGTCTCGTGAAGGGGAAGCAAGTAACACGACACCGGAAGCTACGGAAGGAACTACTCCTCAGGTACAACCAAGGTTGGGAAGTGAGCTCCCAGCATTGCCCATTCCAGTATTCCGAGGGAATATATGGGAATGGGACAATTTTTGGGAACTCTTAAACACCAATATCCACTCGCAGCAGATCCCCGACCTCTACAAATTCAATTACCTGAAAAATGCACTTCGCGGTGAGGCTTACCAAGCAATCGAAAAGTTTCAAGTGACTCCAGAAAACTACTCGAAAGCAGTCAAGTTTTTCCAGCATAAGTATGGAAACACGCAGGAGTTGATTGCCCGGTTGCTTCATAAGCTTGAAAAAATTGCTGAAATCACCTTCAATAAAGGACCAACGTTCTCTCTTTGAAGAACTACAAGTGGTAATTGCCTAGCTCACAAAGGAGAACAAGTGGATAGCCAGTGGTGCATCAGGAAAATTCTCTCCAAGTTTCCAGCGTCTGTTCAGAGGAAAGTGCTTCTGAAAAGGAGCACTTCCCTGGCGGAAGACTCATTTTCTATGAACAAACTGTTGGAGTTCTTGGAGGAAACAATTTCAAACGAAGAAATGGTGATGCTCTATATGGAAAAAACCGGAAAAGAACAGAGCATCAGATCACTCTTCGTCAAAAAGGATCTCCCAATGCGGCAAAACAGGTGCATGTATTGTGGGGAAGACCATAAAGCTATGGATTGCAGCAGGTATAAAAACCCACAAGAAAGATCGAAATAGCTGCGAGAGCACGGACTTTGTCTCATCTGTGCGTCAGCACAACACCAAACTTCACAATGTAAAAAGCGTTATTGCTTCAAGTGTCAGGGCGCACATCATACATCGTGCTGCTTCAAGCTGATTAACAGCACAACAAGTCAACAAGGCAAGGAACTGAATAAGAAGAGGTTGAAAGAAGAACCGAAAAGAGCTAGACCCCAACGGGTGAACCATGTGGGTTGTGGAGAGGCAGAGACAAAGGAGACCGCTATACTTCAAGTTAACTCAATACCCCAAATTTCGGAAGAAACTTTTCTTCCTACAGGGGAGTTGACAGTCCTCGATCCCAACAGCAAATCCTTGCGAAAAATTGCGGTACTACTGGATACAGGAGCAGAAATCTCATTCATAGATGGAGCACTCGCGGAGGATTTGCAACTTCCTACGGTAGGGAAGACTAAGCTTCATCTACACACCTTCGGTTCGAATCAAGTGTCTGCGAAAGATTGCCGGAAAGTGGTGCTAAACGTTTGGGATGCGGAAGGGCAGCAGTGTTCACTGAACCTGCTTACCCATGACATCCTTACGAAAGCGTTCACGTCTCCGAAACTCCAGGATGTAGACATCCAATTTATTGAACAACAAGGCTTACAGATTAATCAGTCTGAACGATCCGTAAAGCCACAGATTCTTCTTGGTGCTGAGCACCTTTGGTCATTCGTACGAACCGATATAAGACACATTCGCCTTCCTTCGGGACACTACCTTCTATCCACTAGAATGGGATACCTTCTCACGGGGCAGGCCGAAAGAACATCAGATGAAAGATCAGAAGATGAAAAGGACAGGTGGAATGGCTACTGGAGCCTACAAGCTCAGGTCAACACAGTAAAAGCAGTGGTAGAGGAGAAAGAGAGTGAACAAGAACTTTGGGAAAGTTTCTGGAAAATGGATGCTGCCGGAACAGAAGAATTTGGAAGGGCTGAAAAAGAACAACAGGCGATCGTTGACCAGCAAGTGTGGGAGAACTTCAAAAGGACAGTGGAAAAGCGGCAAGACGGTTATTATGTGCGATTGCCATGGAAAGACCTTCAAGCAGAATTACCAGATAACAAGGCCATCGCACATAAAAGACTGACAAGTTTATGGAATTCACTGCAGAAAGACGAAAAACTACTGGACCAATACAATGAAGTTTTCCAAGAACAGCTTCGTCTGAATATTTGGAGGAAGTAAATGGAGAATCACTACCTGGCACTCGAATTCATTATATTCCACACCAGGCGGTAATAACACCACACAAGTCCACAACGAAGCTACGCATCGTTTACGATGCATCAGCCCACTATAGGGGATCTCCTTCACTGAATGATGTCTTACATCGAGTCCCGGTAATTTTACCGCTCCTATACGGAATTCTCCTGAAATTCCGAGTAGGACACATCGCATTGATATCGAATGTGGAAAAGGCATTTCTTCGAGTGCGACTTCACGAAGAAGATCGCGATGCCACTAGGTGCCTTTGGTTGAGGAACCACAAACGAGCACCTAGTCCAAGTAATATCCGAATTCTGCGATTCACTCGAGTAACTTTTGGACTTATGCCATCTCCTTTCCTCTTGGCAGCAACGACACATTATCATCTCGATCAATACAAAAACAGCAAGTTAGTGAAGGAAATGAAAGAAAACTTGTACGTGGACAATCTCATTTTATCCACAAATCAAACGGAAGAGGCGGTCGAGTTGTACCGCACCACTAAAAGGATGTTCCAAGATGTTAACATGAGCCTCCGGGAGTTCGTTTCTAATAATAAGGAAACAATGCAAGCAATAGCTCTCGAAGACAAGTCCCTGGAACTATCACCAAAAGGCTAGGGATAAAATGGAATTCAATTAAAGACGCACTCGAGATCGCATGTCGGATGAAAAACAGCACTAACATTACAAAACGTAGTGTTGCAAGTACCATAGCCTCCGTCTACGACCCAATGGCTTATATGACACTCTTGCTCTACAGAGCCAAGGTCTTTCTTCGCTCCTTATGGCAGCAAAATTTTGACTGGGATGTCATTTTGCCCGAAAAACTTGCGCAAGATTGGGAACAAATCATGAAAGAAGTCGACGGATTTGAAAAATCAATTCCACGATGTTTATGCTCAAAAGAGACAGAGCATGACATAATCGCTTTCGCTGATGCAAGCTCAGAAGCAATAGCTGCATGTGTCTACTTGCGTTCCAAAGGTCAAGCAAACTTGCTCTTTGCAAAAGGCAAGTTACCGTCTCTCAAGTCCACGGTTACGATGCCGAAGATGGAACTCAATGCAGTGACTCTGGCCATGCGAATTGCAAATGCAACGATCACGCAACTACAATCCGTCGTCAAAGTAGCGCAAACAGTTGTGCTGTCAGACTCCGAAATCGCTCTCCAGTGGATCATATCGAAACCGCAGAAAGAAGTAGGAAAGATGATAACCAGCAGACTCAATGAAATTGAGAAGATCGTGAAGAACATAAAGGAAATGAGGTGTCAAGTATGGTTTGCTTATGTATCCTTATCTGAAAACCCAGCAGACTGTGCCACTCGAGGTCTATGCAAAACAGAGCTGCATAATCACTTTTGGTGGACCGGGTCTGATTTCTGCGCGAACATCCAAAGGAATGGAAAGGCACTCTCTTCCAACAGAAAACATCGGGTGAAGATGAGAATGAAGTAACAGTAGCAGCAAATGTACAGGTTCAACACTCAACCACTCCAATTCTTCTTGACCGGTTGAAGAAGCATCCGCTAGTAACAATAAAGCGCATTGAAGCATATGTGCTGAGATACGTCAGAATTTTGGTAACAAGGGTAAACAAGAAAAGAACCCTTCCAATAGTCTTATCAACTTAGCTGAAACCGGACATGGTGTACGATGGGACAGAATTGAATGGCGCGGAAATTGCTGTAGCCGCTAAAGCGGTAATCAGACAGCACCAGATACTGATCACTGAAGAAATGAGGCGATCAATGCGTCACCTGAATATCAAGAAAGACGAAGAAGGCCTCCTTCGCTGTTATGGAAGACTGCGTAGAAGCAAGATGAATCAAAGTGCAAAACAGCCACTGATTATCCTGCAAAACACGTGGCTAGCAGAAACCATAATAAGAGAGAGCCATAATAAAGGCCATCCAAGTATTAGCCATACCATGTCTCTTGTAAGACAAGATTATTGGATACCAAAACTCCGAGCTCAAGTAACTAGAATCATCCGTCGATGTGTTCCTTGTCAAAAATTCAACAACTTACCATTCAAGTATCCGGAGCAAAGTGACCTTCCTAAAGAACGAGTACAACGCGCAAGGCCTTTTGGACATGTCGGACTGGACTACTTCGGTCCACTCAGTGTGGCTCTTTCTGACGGAAGCAAAGGCAAATGCTACGGATGCATAATCACATGCATGGTGACCAGGCTTATTCATTTGGATATAGCTTAAGAACTCTCAACCAAAGCTTTCTTGTTACTGCTTCGGCGATTTTTCGGACGTCGAGGAGTACCTCGGACAATAACGTCAAACAATGCGCCAACGTTCCTTCTTGGAGAAGCCATACTCAGGGAAAGCTATGAAGCAGCTAAAACTGATCCAAGCATAATGAGGGAGCTCAGCGATAGAGAGATCGTTTGGAAACAAATCACACCGTATGCCCCATGGCAAGGGGGCTTTTACGAACGCTTGATCAAGTCAGTAAAGCTCTCGCTCTACAAAACGCTTGGAAATCAGACACTGCCAACTGACGAACTGGTCACGGTGATCATAGAGATAGAAGCCTTACTCAACACAAGACCACTCTTGTACATGGAAACGGACAGTCTAAACGAAGTCGCTTTACGACCTATAGACTTTCTACAAAACGAAATACAGGTGAAATATCCTGTGGATCTTTCCAGAGAAGAAGAAGAAGATCCAAGTTACGTGTCAAGTGAAGAACTTGTTTTGCTACGGACAAAAAAGCAAACGATAGAAGCCCTGCAATCTTCCTGCAAAGCCGTGGAGAAATTTTGGCAAGTATGGCAAACTCATTACCTGACATCATTACGAGAGAAACATCAGAAAGACGTAGGACAAAAACGAGGATGCTCATATGAGCCGCATAATGGTGATTTGGTAATGATCGCAGATCCCGTGCAACCACGCCAAGCTTGGAAGCTTGGACGGATTATCGAACTGGTTGAAAACCACAGCGGGGTCGTAAGGGAGGCAGGTGTGATGTTACCTTCGCGCCATAAAATTCGCAGACCTGTCAACCTTTTGGTGCCACTGGAGCTGGAACAGTATCCGGCTAATAGCAGAAGAGAAGAAGATGCAGGGAATGACAAACCCGCAATTAGTACAGAAGAAACAGTCACACATCCTTACAATCTTCGTCCAAACCGCAAGAAGAACTATATCGGAAGCATTTTGCACTCCTCAGTACTACTCACCACCATTCTGGGACTGATATTTTCGAATAAAGGAGTTAAGGGACAACAACTACCGAACCAATCATCGAAGATTTCTCGGACGATGAAATGCATTCCTGGTGGAATACTAGGCTGTTGCATAAGTTCTGTCCGATTTTTTTGCCTCATGTTTGAAGCAGCTGTTCTAAGAGAATTTCATCTCTAATTCGATACGGTTGGTATCATTGAAAAGTGCTCTCCTTGCGCTTTCTAAAGCATACCAGAATTCAATAAAATTCTTAGTGTACGGAGATCACAGGCCTAAAATCTCTAAGTGGCCGAGGTACGTTCTATCCCTAGAAATATGTCCTTGCGAGGATATCTCCACAATGCGCCCTTCAAGTCAGGTTCTTTCATTGGCTTCGGAATAAGGGTATGGAATGCTAGTATATGCAGAAGTTCGGTCCCATGAAGAAAACGTCTTGCTAGTGAAATTTATCCTCGAACATAAATCTTTGGTATAGATGTTTTACAAGCAATAACTTTCTGCGAATAGAAGTAATCGACAAGCTCAAAGTTGGAGGTGCTAGGGCAAAGCAAGAGCTAACAGGGCCCATCCACCAATTCAGTTGTAAAAAGTTCGTAGTTCATAAATAGGCATGCACACATGTGCTGAAGCGAGGTCAAAAAGTGGCTAATTTTTTGTTCGGTCAAAAAAATCTCTCGGCAGCGCAAACCCTACGGACTCTTTTATGTTGCATAATAATCTACGAAAATTTCTCTATCCATCCATTATTAGAAAAGATGCCTATCAATTTTCATAAGGGAGCGTTACCATGTCAAAAAAGACAGATTCGAAGAAAAACGCTGCGAAGTTTTTGCATTCTTGGTTCTTCCTTAACAAAGATTTGCGCAGATCTCAATATGCATTTTTTAGCCAGGGGACTGCTCAACACATATAAACTAAGACCTTGGAAAAAAGTTGACTCTGAAAGAAGTTATGACATTTTAAACTCAAAAATTCAAATCGGACAGAACTTATGCAACAGCCTAGTACAACTCATCTCCGAGGCTCAAGTGCCGTATCAAGTATGCGCAGAGGACTTTTGCAAGACCTTCGACCCTCCACACTACAACGAGACAGTAAGATTTCCGCCCGGTATAGTACTGCATGAGCACAAGGTTCAATGGAAACTTAGCATTAACAACGCAATAGAGATAATGGAAGCAATTTGCCCATCGGCATCATTCTGTGAATCGGTGGATTGCTTTTTCTGTGCTTCACTCATCTTCAATCCAGAATGCTGGCCGGTTGGAGCAATAATTGCGCTCACATTGCTTCTATATCTGATAGCAACCGGATGCTACGCTCTATTGTATGTTCTACTAGTGGTAGGTAAACCTATAAGACTGCTGATATACAGCATCTACCTGCTCCTCCGTCATCTCTTCAAATGCTGCAAAAGGACACGGGATCAACCAAGTCATGGTAGACAAAGAAGATGATCGAATTGACCTATTTACTGGCTATTTTCAGTATGCAAGTGGCAGTGCACGGATGTCAGATAGTGAACATTTTCAACCACACGTCCACTTTGTGCACAAACGATGACAAAGGTCAAGTATGTAAAGTGCAAGTTTCTGAGATACTCAAGCTCAACCCGTTCAAAAGAGAAGCTTGTTTCAAGCTGATGCAAAACGAAACAACAGTCCACCAGATACGGGCTTCATGGAAGAACCTACTTCTCACCTGTGAAAAGGTCACGGACTACTTCACTCGTGACACAAGTTATGAAATTATAGACAGTAAACGTTGTCCGCATGTAGGATCGTGTGTGGGGGAAGCAAGTGCGCCAGGATAAACAGTGCAAGTCTGATACCTGAACTCGCTGTGGGGAACAGATATCCAGGCAACACATATTGCGTCGAATCCTGTGGCGGCCCGGGATGTGACTGCTTTTACTAGAGCTCAGGTTGCCTCTTTTACCGGATTTACTTGAAGCCTGTCTCGTCGACAGTGTACGAAATCTTTCATTGTAATCGATGGGCACAGACTGTGGCCATTGACTTCACCCATTTCGACGCCGAAAGTGGACGAACAAACGAGTTTACGGCCCTGATGATTCCCAACGTACCAATCAGATGGGAAAGCTTTTCTTTTACACTAAGCTCTGTGAGTATGGCACCGATACCTTTACTCCAGTCTTCGTTCATAACGAATGGCAATAACACGGCTTTATGGGATAATCAAATAAAGCCCACTCTTCGCTGTTCGTCAAGTAAAGCTGCTAGGACACTTCAGTGTGAAATGCACGAGCAATGTACCTGTAATCCAGCCGAAACAAAGGCCAATTGCAAGTGCTTGGATGTACCAATACTGAAACACTTCGAAGACCTGCAACGACGAATGCCCGTAATCCTACCGTCCATAACTTTTGAAGAATCAAAGCATGGTGTCAAAGCAAGTGTTCAAAACATGCTCTCGACAGAAATAATCGTAACCCTGCAAGAAGACCTACACACTAACATCGTTGTTGATAACGACATATGCACGGTAGAGAACACTCAGTTGACAGGATGCTACAATTGCGAAAAGGGGGCTTATGCAAAAATCAAGTGTTTTTCCTCTCGATCAAGTAAAGCAGAAATCATCTGTGAAAGAACAAGTTTCACGGCTCCGTGCGGCAAGCAAGGGATGAGTCAATCATGAGAATAAGCCCTACTCAAGCAATGGTCCGCATGAAATGTTCAGTCTCATGTGGAGAAGTCGTCACAACATTTGAAGTCGGAGGAATTCTCAAATATACTGTATCTTTCGAGGCAATGCTCTACAAGTGGCTTACGAGCAATCGCGAAAGTGCTTCAGCCGAAATCAAGTGGCCTGACTTCTACCATCTAATTGATGTATTCAGTCAATGGTACAAAACGGTACTCATCGCAGGAGTTGCACTCATTGCAATGCTAGGAGTAACCTATGCGCTCATTTCAACCTGTGGACTTAGATGTATCATTGTTATAGCAAAATTGATGATCAAAACGATACGAAGAATTTATCAAGTCATCTGGAGATTTTGCTTTTGGACTTTGCGCGCATGTGTGACCAAGTCTCGAAGGAGGGGGGCAACAAAAGTGAAGCTATAACGATTGCAACCAAAAAGGAAAAAAAGAAGAAAAAGAAAAAAAGAAAAAAACATGAGAAAAAAAAGAAAGAAAAAGAAGTTTTGCAATCGACTAGCCTTCTCTCCACTAACATGACTTTGTTACAGACTCAGCGTCGCTGAACTCGACGGAGAAACAACATTCCTGAAGACAATCCTGGGAGTAGCAAGCCCACAAGCAGAACTCCTGGAACCCCAGCTCCAAGCCATTCTGAAATCGCTGCACAATCAAAGGAAGGTAGCAACAACGCAGAGAGTACAATGGACGTCATTGATGGGCGAAGCAAACTTTCTGCAAGCATCCATAAATGAACAACTTATGGTAACCAGTAGATGTCTACGCAGCGCTATAGTGACCAAAGAAAAAATACTGCGCCTCGGAACTTGGTATATCCTCACAGACAGGATCTACGATCGGCAAGTGCAAGCTAATCTCATCCCGAGAGGGAGAAGATTCCAATGGCTGGAGAGGAAAGAAACAAGAATATGATGGGAGGGCAGAAACAGTGCTCAAACTGGTTCAAAGCCTGATGAGCTTTACGCAGACGAGCATAACTCAGATGGAAGGTCACTTGAGCAAAGTGGAGGAACAAGTAAGCGCAAGCGAGGAAACAAATCTCGCTGTTCAATGCAAACAACTGAAGGAACGCATCCAGGAGATAGAACTCGGCTGGGCGCATCAAGTAGAGCGACTCGAAAAAGAAAGCCAGGCACTAAAGGAAAAGATTCAAGAACAAAACGAAGATAAGCGAATGGACTGGAGTGCTGAAGTTGAAGAAGCAGTCGCTGGCAACAAGGAACAAGAAAAGGAGAAATGCGCAAAGCAAAATGATGAAACAATGGACTGGACGGCTCCTGAGGAAGTAACAACTATCGATCAAGCCAATGACAACAAAACAAGCGATAGCTATGAAGATGACAGATCAGAAACGAATGAAATGGAAACAACATTCTTTACGATCGAAAGATTGATGGACCAGGAGGACAGCAGCAAAGGGCGAAGAGATAGCTACCATGCAGAGAATGAAGAAAGTCAGCAAAAACAAGCGATTTCTATGATTGAAAAACTGAAAATGCAAGTATCAAAGCTGCAGGATGAACTCGATCTCAAACGAGTAGCCACAGCCCCTCTGAAAAACAACGTCAGCACCCTTCTTGACAAGAACGAAAGAAAAAAGAAGAAATTATCTGAACTGAGGCAGGAGTTGAAATCGGAAAAATCTCGCGCAGAGGAGCTGACGCTGAAGCAGCGTCAACATCAGGAGGCAATCGATCGATTGAAGGACGAGCTAAAGCAGCAGAGAAAAGACATGGAGAAACTCAGGGAGCAAAAAGAACAAGTTGAAAGACGCTTGAAGGAAGCTGATAAATCAAGGGAAGAACAATTGATTGTCCATCGGTCAAGTGATGAAAATAAGCAGGTCGAAGGCAGGTGGGAGAGAATCAACAGCCCACAGGAAAAAAGATCAAGTGAAAGAATGCGGAAAGAAGAAAATCCCAGGACGTCTTATGAGCCTGAAGCAAAAACCAGAAGGACCGATAGGCCGGAGTGTTCAAGAGCCTGGGTGGAAAGGCTTGAGCAGGACATCATCGAAATGGAAAGAGTTCTACAAGATTTCCCTCATAGCAAAATTGGACAAATAAACCACGGTGTACGCGGAATCAAGTGTATCTTTTGCGATGAAACAAGTCACCACTTCTCTGACTCCTGTCCGAGGTATATAGAAGGAGATGAAAGATGGGAAATCATCCGACAAAAAGGCCTCTGTCGCTTTTGCCTTGAAGACTGCCCTCCAGATCAAGAGTGTCTTTACGCAAGAAAACAATGTTGATTACTGCAAGCGTTTACGAGGATCCATCTTCGAAGATCTCATCCCTCGCGACGACGGTCATCATCGGGCGCTGTGCAACATTCCTGATATGAAATCACGAGCAAAACGGAGGGTACTCGAAGCCAAACGAGCGCTAAGAGAAGGAGGAAGAACGACATACTAGCAGCGCCGGGAGTGTCGACAACGACCAAATGTAAATAGCAAACACTGCCTTTGATCAGTTATTTGGTAAACCTTGTTTGGTTGTTTGTTTCATTTATTCTGCATATTAGTTGAGATGCATTTGTATGTATTTGTTCATCGGTTATTTGTTCACTCAAGTATTTGTTATGCACTACCATTATCGATTTCTAAAGTCTCAAGTTGAGCTTAGCAGCATATCGCTTATCTTGTAACAATCTATGTTTCATTTCCCATGTAGAATGTTATGAGAAGCTTATTTTATCAAGATATATGCCTGTATAAAAAGACTCTAGTCCGCCGTAAGGTCATGCTTCCTACACCAGTAAGGAATCGAGCAAGTATTCTCAAGTTCCCCTATTCTCAAGTGTTACCCTACGGCGAAGAAAAGAAGCCTTCACGTATTGGAGTAGAAGATAGAAGATAAATATATTTGAACATATCGTCTTCAAACCACATACAAGACCCGCGTGGCAAGAAGTTAAAGGAACTCAGCACAGACGAAAACATCTTCTACACAGCAGTACATGTAAAGAATGTCCAACAACTTTTAGTGCTTCCTTTTCATCAACTGCACCCATTTTTATGACGGGTGCTGTACAGTGGTATTTTGAGCTCTCCTTCCTTATCCTATTCCTTTGTTTTGGGATATGGTAGCCTCGCCTCAGCGTCTCGAGTCTTTCATTCTGTTAAAACTTTCAGCAGAAAACGATGTTTCCAATGACCAATGCATATCATATAGCAATTGAGAGCCGCATGCATTAGCATTCCTGCTGGGGACGAGATCGCAGCTTAGGGACGCATGCATTAACATCCCCGCTGGGGAAGAAATCGCAGCTCAAAGAAAGCTTCAAATTGAAGCTCCGGATATGCTCACGTTGTCTACCTATACGTAAGTTTTCCCACCATCCTTCACTATAAACATTTTGAACGGGAGCAAGAAGCTTTACATGCCGCATTTTCCAGCTTTCTGTATGATCATCTGATGATCCCCGGTAGCCGCCCGTCTTTTCTTCAAGTTTTCTTTTTTCGAAATTAACGAAAACCTTCCAAAGTTGTACTGATTATTCAACCCAGCAGCGCTAAGCATATTGCTGATAAGAACGAATGAGTTCTTCGAATCGATTTTTTTCGGCAAACCCCACTTTCAGCTTGTGGTTCATCGCAAATTCCATGACTTCGAAACATTACTTCTTATCAGAAAATGAATACCACTGTTGAGTGAGATAAACAGCACAACTTTGAAATGTTTTTACTGACTTCGAAGAAAGAAAAATGATTTTAAAGAAAAGACAGTCGGCAGCTGGAGATCATCAGGAAATCATACAAAAAGCTGAAATGGCGGCTTATATAGCTTCTTGCTCCTGATCAACATGTTCGGTGAAGGATGGTAGGAATGCCTACCGATAAGTAGAAAGCATGAAATCCAGAAGTTTGGAGCTGCAGGATATGAAGTTTTTTTGTAAGCCGCGATCTCCTCCCCAGCAAGGATGTTAATGCATGCGGCCCCTAGAAGAAAATTTCGTATCCTAAAGTTCCAGATACAATACCGCCCACATTTTCTGAAAAAAAGACGCGGATCGGAGTAGACCCATGCGAAGTCGCTTGGATCGAGCGACGTTCGCGTAAGTCAAGCTACGGTCGCGTAGGTTATGTGACGATCGCCAGATTTATGTGACATTGCCGCCGCGTAGCCATATCTCACTTCAGAGTGGATGAATTCTGAATTTAGGAACACCATTCGACTCTGTTCGACGCGAAGCTATCTTCTGATAGGAAGTGGGGGTACGATAGGTATACGATAGAAGGTCCAGATACGCCTGAGTCTCTGCATGGAGGGCTTACTCGATGGGCTCATTACAGAATATTTGTTTGTTGCGTTGATGGTATACTGTAGAGTTATGTGTATGATGCCAATTTGCACATATTTACGGTACCCACAGTAATTTTTGACAGGAAACGCAGAGACTGACGATTTCGTATTCTTTTTTCTTTTTTTCTTCATAACTTCCTTCAGATTCACAAAATATGAATCCGATACAAGCATAATGCTCAACTCGTCGAGGCGAATATTATGATATACTACCTTATTTTGCTATTCCGTTTTTAGTCTGCTTGATTTTTTTTGGGGGGGGGGGGATTTCGCAATGGTGTAACACAGTGCAAAACACTGCAATGAACGACTTCAGTAAAAAAAAGATTCTGTAAAGCTGCCTCCATAGATTAACTCGCGGTAGAAAATAGTCGGAGATCTCTTTTCCAGAGAAGAAGAGATGGCGGTGGATTTCAGAAAAATCCAAGGCTGCCAAATCTTACTTACCGTAACTCTACAGTGAGACGCCAAGTTGCAATGCAGCGTGATCAGCAGGCTAGATAATTTCTATGCGCAGTTTTTCAAGAAACTCGGACCCTTTGATTTTTCAGTTCTCGACTCTGAATTTTGCCGACGGGTTTCGGCTAAAATATTGGTAATCATTGACGGGAAACTTCGCCCATAGGGGTTTTCGGACTCAGTTTACGGAATTAATGCTTTGTGCATCGTAATTCCCTTCAGCAGGGTGTTTTGCTGAGAGAAATGCTGCGATACCACACAAATTCCTAGATTTGTCTGCACTTTTCGCGCAACGCACAACTTACCTGCTCCATTTTGCATTTTGAAACTACTAAAACTTGTTTGTTTTGAGCGCGAGTCTTCTTTGCATACGTTCCGTCTTGCTCACTTTCGGCTTCCTTCACGAATTGGCCATTTTTTGAAATAAAAGCACTAGTTGCCCTAAGGGGTGAAACAGAAGTTCCAGGTTCCAGGTTGGTACGGAAGCTTTCGGAAATTTTCAGGCTAAATCTGCTAGTTCTCGAACTCTGCTAATTCTAACGCTTCAGTACTGTATCACTGAATAATTAAGAATGTGGGAGGAGTCTAGGATCAATGAGGGCGAGGTTTGCCACTATTAAAATACAAACCCCTTCTTTTGTTGTTCAAACTCAAATCCGCACGAAATTTGCATGTAAGTATGTAAGCTATTGATATTATAACTTGAAGCATGTGGGGGTTCCACAACGTTTATAGAAGATTTGGATTACGTTAAAATAACATGCTTTCAAATTTCTGAATTCTCCTTTGACAATGCTTGTGCCCACCGTATTTTTGTGAAGATTGCTGTTCTTATCCAATGGTGTGCAGCATGTCAAATCAGTGCTTACATCCTCAGACAGTGGATTGGACCTCTCCGGCGCAGAAATGGCAGGGCCGCGGGGTTGCCCCAGCGGGGGGTCTGCCACTCGTGCTCCGGAGCCCTCCGATTTTGTGCGCCGGAGACCTCCCATTTATGCTCCGGAGTCCTCCCATTTTGTGCGCCGGAGACCTCCCATTTATGCTCCGGAGTCCTCCCATTTTGTCCTCCCATGTGCTCCGGACCCCTCCGATTTTCTGCTCCGCGGCTCGTCCAAATCTGGCGGACTCGCTGCGGGCAAATCTCTCCGCCGCGGCTCTGCCAAACCTGGCGTACATCCTGAGCAGAAATGGCGTACCTTTGCAGCAGATCCGGAGAAGGGTCCCACTCGCCTGCCGGTGACGTCACCGTGATCTACAAAAAGGGACCGCCCCCTCGCCCCGCTCTCATTGGTCAACTGGGTCCGCCGCTACTCTGGTAGATTACGACTGTCCGCAGGAGTCCGATCAGAGGTGCGATAGTTGGAGCCGAGTCTCCGCCTACCTTCACTTTTGAGCTGGTACCGGGTGACCACCTTCACTTTTGGGTTTGAAAAAAATTTTTTGCTGAAGATTAAAAGAAGGAAAATGAGCAAAAGAAACGAAAAAGAAAGTATTGAGAGCATATATCCATGTAGTAGGTCAATCTAGGCAGTAACCGCAGAGAACCAGTATTTCGAGTGACAAAGTAGCGAAAAATCATGCGAAATTTCCACTGTTATAAATCTGGTGGTCGAAGATGTCAGCAATTGCGACGGTTTTGAAGAGCAAGTGTTGTTCTACCAGATAGTGGAAGAATCGAGTCGATTTGAGCAGTGGCCGCCGAGAACGAGAATTTTAAAAAATTAAGCGATTTTAGGTTGCTTAGTGACAGCTGACGTTTAAACTCCTATAAATCTGGAATGTGAAAATATGCAATGTTGCGACTTCATAGGTTTTGTGGAGTAAGGATTGCTCTACCGGAATATGCTTAGCCGTACCGATCCATTGAAATAGCGCCGAGATCCAGGGTCTTGAAAAAGCAGGTAAAAAACCGCTTTTTGAACTTCAACAGCTCATAACTTCTTCAGAATTGCATGAATCATGTTGCGACTTCATAGGTTTGATTCTTCTCATCAAGAGCTTTCAGGTGATATATAGTATGTGGGGGTTTCAATGATTTTTGCGGCTCTAACCCAGGGTGGAGACTTTTCACCCCAAAGTCTCCACCTCGCCCATGTTAATGTATTGGCCGGAGACCGCCAGTGGAGACTTTGGGGTAAAAAGCCTCCACCCCCGGGCATATGCCGTGAAAGGCGCGAAACCCCCACATATTATATATCATCTGAAAGCTCTTGATGAGAAGAATCTAACCTATGGAGTCGTAACATGATTCATGCAGTTCTGAAGAAGTTATGACCTGTTGAATTTCAAAAAGCGCTTTTTTACCTGCTTTTTCAAGATTCTGGATCTCGGAGTTGTTTCAATGGATCGGAACGGCTAAGACATATTCTGATAAGGCAAACCTTACTCTATAAAACCTATGAAGTCGCAACATCACACACTTTCACATTCAAGATTTATATGAGTTTAACTGTCAACTGTCAAAAAACACGCAAAAATGGCGTAAATTTTTAGAATTTTGGTTTTCAACGATTATCTCTCAAATCCACTCGATTCTTTCAGTATCTGATAGAGCACCATTTACTCTTCAAAACCTATGAAGTCGCAACTGCCGACATCTTCAAACAACAGATTTATAACAGTGGAAATTTCGCATGATTTTTCACTATTTAAATATTCAAAATTCTGGTTCTCGGCCGTTACTGGCTAGATCGACCTACTTCCTTCGCAGTATGTTATGACAAAATTTACTCAATAAAATCCGTACAGTCCAACAAACTTTTAATTCCAAATACACCATTTACTAAACACGTCTATTTTAGATTTTTATAAATAAAATTTATAAATATTTTCAATATTCATGGTATCTGTGGCTTTAAAGAGGGCCGTTGGGTCACAGTTGGTCCTAGAAAGATAGCTCTGCTCGTCCGTTCTACCCCCCCCCCCCGTCGACGTTTTTGGAAGGTGAGTGTCCGGCACTACCACCTTCACTTTTGGCCGGCCAGTGGTAGCTGGAACCACCTTCACTTTTGGGGGGCCCGGCTCCACCTATCGCACCTCTGGGTCCGATCGATTGTTTGTGTCGAAACAAAACCTTTGTCGCAATGCAAACTATCATTCCAATCTAATAGATGACGCAAGTTTGTGCGTGTTAACGCACATTTATTAGGCACTCAAGATGTGAAATATTAATTGCACGTCATAGTTTGCTCAGTTAGCTTCAATGAGATTTGAGCAGTCAGTCTTACGCTTTTCAATCTAATGAGCAAGGAATTACTGCAGCCTGCAACCGTTATCAAAATAATAAATACTTTGGCAGTCATAGATTTCCTTAGAACATTCATAGCAGATCGTCCTTTCATGTTTATTCTATGCACCAGCAACATTCCCGAGCATGAGTCCTACATTTTGAGAGCTTTTTTGTTTATTGATCTCGCT